TAAATTAACTGCAGGACTTAAAGAAGCTGGTATAAAGTCTATAGGGATCCGCTTCCGATAACACCAAAGTGAAACATTGGGGTCTGTGTGGTTAAATTGTTCCTCATGCGCCTTCTGTATGCAAAGGCTTGACACTGTTAACATCAAGTGTAGAAATAAAAAAACTCAACACATCCATTTATGTTCCCTTCACCCCTGCAGAGTCCATCACCCAGCAGACAAAGAATTTGGTGCCCTGTTCAGTTACTATCTGACTCATACCAAAAGACTATATAAGCCTTCAACCTCCCTACTGGGCACCCTGCATTACACAGAAGTTTTAAATGCTCCACATACGTCAGTTGAATTTGTTCTGAAATTGCTGTAAGACAGCTGCCAATTCTACTACAAACTATCATTACAGAATACCGTCATTAGAATCATGTTGATAGCTAAATCAATGGGAGAGTTAAATCCAGAGATGAGTCCAGTGTACCCCTAATGAATTATGGTATAATTTATTTACATGATATATTAAATTTAAATTATTGTATTCATTATTCATCTATTTCATGTAGTTATTATTATAACCATTTGCCCGCTGCCTGCTTGCAATGCCATTGTGCGAATATTGTAGATTTCACCGTAAATTCACCTAAAAAGATGTGAATTTATTTTTGTGTCTTCTACTGGATTTATTCAAAATGAATCTGGCTGAAATTTGATATTTGATAAAAATGCAGATTTTATATGTTATATTGGATTTGCATGTAAACTTCTCTACCTGGTTGTGCTCTGTGCGGGAGTTGGTGAAGAGGTGGGTAGCGGCTCATTAACTTTTCCAGGGCCAACGCCTGTAGTCCTTTCCCTCCTTAGCATAGAGAAATTGAGGGAAATTAAGAAGTAAACCTCTAAACCCGTGTTTCTTGCCCCTGAATCTCTGTGCTGTTGTCTCTGTGCTGTGTTATCGCTTGGCCTCCTTGTTGTGGCTTGGCCTTGAGTAGAAAATCAGATGCCAATCATACAGATTCGGGAACTTGGCCGAATGTCACATAGAATAAAACGTCCAGTACATTTCAGTTGTGTTTATTATTCCCTTTGGTTGTGCCACACATAGCAGCAATGTGTCAGCACAAGCACTGGTCTTTGCATTGGGTCTTACATTTTTTACTTTGTCCACAATATGTTAGAATCCACCCTCGAAAAGTGTTCCATATGACAAATTGGTTTGTGTGTTACATTAATTATCAGACATCTTTAATCGGGTTGTATCACATCAGTGCAATGTAAATTATTATTTCTATCACAACATTTATAAAGTAATGATTAATTTAATAAAGGAGGGAATAGACCTGGACAACCTTATTACACAATCTTAAATAGGAATCACAGGTTAGGTTAGCACTGATCAGTGTGTCAGCTAATAGCAGTTCAATTTTGTATGCAGTTAGACTTTGACACCTTTATAGTTGTTAAATAATTCAACATGGCTTTAGCATCCTATGAAAATATGCATACATCCCCTTCAGTGCTTTGTTCTGTCCATTAACACAAATTAAGTATAAAATTCCATTAACACAAATGAACACAAAGTAAGTGTAATGGTTATTTGAAATCAGAGATGTAAAGCTAACATATACAGTTAGGGACAATACTTTTGGGTGTATATCAGACTACAGAGTTTGGTTCAATAACACCTTGAACTGATATTATGTAAACTTTCAAAATTGTATTTTTTTGTGTGTAAATTGCATTATAGATGACTAGTGATGTCGCGAACCCGAAATTTTCGGTTCGCGAACGGCGAACGCGAACTTCCGCAAATGTTCGCGAACCGGCGAACCGCCCGAAACGCCATTGACTTCAATGGGGAGGCGAATTTTAAAACACACAGGGACTCTTTCTGGCCACAATAGGGATGGAAAAGTTGTTTCAAGGGGACTAACACCTGGACTGTGGCATGCCGGAGGGGGATCCATGGCAAAACTCCCATGGAAAATTACACAGTTGATACAGAGTCTGGTTTTAATCCATAAAGGGCAGAAATCACCTAACATTCCTAAATCACAATCAATATGGATTGACACCTGACATATGACATGTTGACACCTTGACATATGGATTGACACCTGTCCTCAGAGCCCCTGATGCACACGGACACAGAGCAGAATAGAGACTGGTCCCCCTACATAGGGTCACTTGGCAGATATGGATTGACACCTGTCCTAAGGATCCCTGATACACACTGACACAGAGCAGAATAGGGACTGTTCCCCCTACATCGGGTCACTTGGCAGATATGGATTGACACCTTGTTACAAACTGCTATTTGTAACGGGCCCTTTAAATGGCAAATTGCCCTGTTTCCCTGGGTTGTGGAGAAGCCTCTTTGCCAGCCTCCTCCCGCATGACTATGGCCCCTGGGAGATTGTGAAAATGTATGCACTTTTATTTGGTGTGTATGGCCCTTTAAGACTGTCGGTGGGCATATTGGGGCTTATGGACTCTTTATGTGACTGGTGCTGGCCCTTTAAACACCTTTTTTGGGACATCAGGAAGATTGGGACACTGCCCCTTTAAGGCCGTGTCCCCAGACTTGTTGGGGACACGGCCCCTTTAAGACGGTGTCCCCTGTGTCCCCAGACCTGGTGCAAACCCTTTGTGCCTGCCTTGCTATTTCCCACTTGGTTCAGTAAATGGGAAATTATTTCAGCTGCAGAGACTAAGTCCCATTCGGCGATGGACTTAGTCTTTTTTTCAGCCGTTTTTTTCAGCCTTATTTCAGCTGCAGAGACTAAGTCCCATTCGCGATGGGACTTAGTCGTTTTTTCAGCCTGAAATAGACCGACCTCACAGCCCAAATCTATGGAACTGTTTTGGGCAGGAAAATGTGCTTGCGGTCGGTCATAAAGGGACCTCCAGCTAACTTTTAACCCCTGGATGGATTTGGCTGATTTTTGGTTATGTTTATGTTTTAAGTGTGCTGATTCCAAATATGTAATTATGAAGATGGGATGTGTAGTTTTAAAGTTACAGGGTATGGCTAAAAACTGTATTTCTACTGCCTGTGTTTAATTATGTTAATCTCTTCCCAAACGTCATTTCGTTCAAAGTGGAGAGAATGTTAAAAATATATATTTTTGTTCGGAGTGTGAGAAATGCTTTTCAGCCGCTTCTAATCTTAAGCATCATTTGAGGAGCCATACAGGAGAGAAACCTTATTTGTGGTGTGTTTAGCATTGTTCTGATCAGTTTAATACCTTCCGCGTCTCCTATCAGTGGAAGTGTATATGGCAGCCATTTTAGGAACCGTACACCTGGGACCCGAGCAAGGTCACCTCGTTCAACAGGCGACAACATTTGTCCCTGGAAAACTATCCTGGACATTCTGTACAATTTGTATGGATATGGCAGTGATTTCTGCAACAGGGAGATGGAAGAAGATGCTTGGTCGGTCCTCTTAATTCAAATTTGGGGCACTGCGCGGTCAAGCTAATGTGCCACCAGATAGGAGTGGTGTGTTTAGTATTGTTCTGATCAGTTTAATACCTTCCGCGTCTCCTATCAGTGGACGTGTACACGGCATTGATTTTTGTAACAGGGAGATGGAAGAAGAGGTTTGGTCGGTCCTCTTACTGCAAATTTGGGGCACTGCGCGGTCAAGCTAATGTGACACCAGATAGGAGTGGTGTGTTTAGTACTATTTTTATCAGTTTAATACCTTCCACGCCTCCTATCAGTGGTCGTGTACACGGCTTGATTTTTGTAACAGGGAGATGGAAGAAGAGGCTTGGTCGGTCCTCTTACTGCAAATTTGGGGCACTGCGCGGTCAAGCTAATGTGACACCAGATAGGAGTGGAGTGTTTAGTACTATTTTTATCAGTTTAATACCTGTGTGAGAAATGCTTTTCAGCCGCTTCTAATCTTAAGCATCATTTGAGGAGCCATACAGGAGAGAAACCTTATTAGTGGTGTGTTTAGTATTGTTCTGATCAGTTTAATACCTTCCGCGTCTCCTATCAGTGGACGCGGTATATGGCAGCCATTTTAGGAACCGTACACCTGGGACCCGAGCAAGGTCACCTCGTTCAACAGGCGACAACATTTGTCCCTGGAAAACTATCCTGGACATTCTGTACAATTTGTATGGATATGGCAGTGATTTCTGTAACAGGGAGATGGAAGATGCTTGGTCGGTCCTCTTAATTCAAATTTGGGGCACTGCGCGGTCAAGCTAATGTGCCACCAGATAGGAGTGGTGTGTTTAGTATTGTTCTGATCAGTTT